TTTTAAAATACTATAATTGAGACTGGTCGTAAGTGGGGTTGTCTGGCCTCAGTCTCTTAGACATAATAGAAGTATTAGAGATCCGTCCCACCTTGAGTATTGTTGGGGACACTTGAGAATACATTCGTTTGCTGTCAGATCTCTTTCCTATTAAACTATTACTGAAATTTACAGGTTTTCAAGTGATGCCTGGATAATTCAGTTTCCTTTGCCATTCTTCTAGCAGCCAGAAGGGAGATTGAGAGATTGAAAGATTGAGAGTGATTGATTTGAAGTAAATTACTCTGCGAAAAACACTTTTGCAGATAATTCCTCAGGGTCTCTTCTTGTGTTCTGCCCACTTAGTCTGTGCTGTTGCTACTTTTTTGCCTCTCAGACTTTATTGACTTGTTTATGGGCCTTTTCTAAAGCCATAAAGAGCCAGTGGATTTGTAACGTTGGAATCTCATCAATGGCACCCAGTGCAAAGCCTGCCCCAAATGCATAATTTGTGGTTACTTTCAAATATGTGCATTGAATGTCTTTTTTGCCAGACATACAAAAAGGAGCTTTTTGTGCTGAGAAATTATAGCAAAAGGTCCACACACATGGTATCCACTCATTTTCCCTGTGTGGTGAGGGTTTTCCCAGTGTTTTTCTTGGACCTGATATAAAGCAAATGGATTATTTGTTTTCTTACTCTTAAATGTACTGTTAACAAATTGTCGCTGTGAATACTCTCTAGTTATTTCTACATGTTTAACTTTTTCTTCTGTCACTTTCCCCCCCAATTTTCTTTTGTATTTTTTATTGTGGTAAAATACACAAACATAAAATACCATGGTGGTCATTTTTAAGTGTATGACGCAGTGGCCTTGAGTGTATTCGCATTGTTGTGTAACCATCACCACCATCCAGCTCCCAGACTTTCTACCTTTCTTCCATTAAAGGTCAGCTCCCTGTTTAAGACCTTTCGTTACTGGCTTTCTCTCACTAAGCAGAGTGTTCCCAAGGTTCCTCTGTGATGAAGCACGTTCCAGAATGCCCTGACTCTTTAGGGCCGAGGAACATCCCATTGTGTGTCGCCATAGTTTGGATATGGTTTTCCCCCACATTTGTGTGTTGAGAGATTTGTCCTCAGTGCAGCGTTGTTGAGGGGCTGAGGCCTAATGGGAGGTTCTTAGGTCATTGTCACTGCTGCCCTTGAAAGGGAGTAAGGAAGTTCTTAGGAGATCCACGAAAGGCCGTTGTAGAAGCACAGGCTTGCCACTCCTCAGTCTTTTTGACTTCCTGTCTTGACATGTGATCTCTTGGTCCTGCAATCACTGGCCGTGGTGATGTCTTTCATTCACCATTGGTCACCAAGTCCAAGCTAATGTTGGTTCTAAGTCCTTGAGCCTCCTGAACCGCGAGCTGAACATGCCTCTTTTCGTTATAAAGTCACCTCGCCTTGGATATTTCATGATATTAATAGAAAACTAACACATACACATATAGCACATTTTATTTATCTCTTCATCCATGGATGGACATTTGGGTTGCTTTCTGCTTTGAGCTCTTCTGAATAATGCTGCTATATACATGAGTGTACAAGTATCTCTTCAGTACCATCTCTCACAGTTATTTTGGTTTTATACCCAGAAGTAGAAGAATTGCTAGATCATACAATGATTCTGTGTTTAATTTTTTTCATCATACTTTTTCCCATAGTGGCAGCACCATTTTTCTTTCTTTCTTTGTTTTTTTTTGTCTGCGGTGTGCTTTGTAATAGAATAATGTTCTAAGTGAAGTTTGAAAACACATTAGAGACAGGCAGAGAGAAATGATATCCCGGCCTGATGCGGTAAATCTAATGTAGGAGGAACAACTTCAAGAATGGGAAGGAAACGTTTTCCCTGCCTCCCTTCTCTGAGATGTTTTCTCTGAAGCAGAATCTTGTGCTGGGTGTGTTGATAATTCTATAGGAGTTCCTAAAAGAAGAGGAAAGTAAGTCTGGACTATATCATGGGATAGTGATGTCTCAAAGTATTTTAGGCTGTATCAGCCAAGTACATGTTGGGATGTTAACTGTGAGTCCAGGGGACCCATTAGAGTGCATTTATTCATGAAATTGTCATGTACTGGGTGCATTTAAGCTCTCTGTCATGCTCACTAGTCATGCTACATACTGAGTTTCCTTACAACCCTGAAGGAAGCCAGCATTCATGGGGTAATTCATAGAATACTTTATAGGCATCTATTTTATGGATGAAATTTAAGAACTATAAAGCTGTCGTTCAAACCATGTCGAAACCGCTCTGTATAACAATTTCAATACCATAGAAAAGTCGTTTTCTATAAATATGTGTACAAAATAATGCATTTCAAGAAAAGTTTGCCAAATTGAGACCCAACTTGTCATTAGGACCTAGAGTTGAGTCTTCTATTTCAAGCTTGCCATCTACAGGAAGGTAGTCACTTGCCACACCAGTCGCTCATGGAGCACGCGTAGTATTTTCAAAGCTTTGGTAGCGCTGCGAGTTCCAGGACTACTAAGTCCTGCCCGGAGGAGCTCAGTACATGCACAGGAGTCTTTATTGAGTCAGTAAAGGACCCAGATTCAATGTTAACTTGCCCTCCTGTCTCCTGTGAAGTGCTTAGTTTAACACTCTGGCCATAAAGATGTCCATTGTATATTGATTTTTTTTTTCCTGCTTGTTTAGATTTCCAGCGTTGAACTGCCAGGTCTCAGTTCTCAGACTCTGTAAATCTAGATGAAGCTATCAAATTCCCTTAGTTCCAGGAATTCTTTGGGGAACGTGAGCACCTGCCAGCAGGGCAGATAATTGGTGGCTTATTTTTGTTACAAATAGACAATGTCAAGAACGGTGAGAAAGAAGGATTGGGAAATTGAAATTGGGTCTTCCTTTAGAAGAGAAAATCTTGTGATATAGGAATTCTTCTAGAGCTTCTTATTTCTTAGTCTTCTTGATTAGTGTTTCATGGACGTCTTTATACTTCAACTGGGGTTACTGGCGTGAGAGGAGGCCCAGGATAAGTAGCTGTGTGTAAGTTACTAGGGGAGCGCTTGGGAGGAGGCTGCCGAGAGGACAGGAACCCGGGACCAGGGACTGGTATAGAGCGGCTCATTCTCCCCCTATATCAGCCTGACCCGAAATGCCTGTGTGATGCAGGATGTCCGAAACAGGGCGGCCTGCTGTACCTCCGAGAAGGAAATTACGATTGGTGATCGCGCTGCTGTCTCGTGCCCACTCTTCTGGATGAGTGTGCCTGGGCTGGGGGAGCTTGATGGAGAAGAATGAGGCTGACTGGCAATCACCTGTTACCCCTGCCATCTGTGCACGTGAAATGACTCTGCCTGGGACCATGGGCCAGGCCTTCAGGGTCTGCAGCTAATTAGCTGGGACGATCCAGGAAGGAAATCATGCGTCCTCCAGTAGCGGGGAGTTTCTTCGGGATTTCAGTGAGGGCGGCTGTGGGAGCGTACGGTGACATCTGTGAGGAAAAAGTGTTGGTGCTCAACACGAGTGGTCTTTGTTGGCCCTTCTGGCTGTGATGGGACAGCTAATAGACTTGTCCCTCATTGTGCTTGTCAGGCCCCAGCTGTCACTGTCAGTCCCCCAGGTTACTGATGGGCACCTAAAATGCCCTTCTCTTAACAGAGGGGCAGCAGAAGTATAAAACCAGGAATTGTAGATGGTGATGTCTTTGGAACATATTAGTTTGCCAATGGCTGAAATGTACGTTGGAGCTTTATCCATTTTATCTGTGGATCTTTAGGAATCGAGCAGATTGCGAGGAGAAACTGAGGCACGTGTTTCTAAACTTTTTACGGTAGAAGTTAGATTCATTATATATAGATTCTGGGATGTAGTATTCCTCTTCCCTACAGATTCAGTATACAGAAGATGCATGGACACTGGGCATTGCTAGGCGCGAATAGCAGACGCTGAGAGCCAGGTTCTTTGCTAAACAACGGGAATAAAAGATGAGTAGGGAGCCCACGTTTAGTTTGGGGCACACGCTCAAGTGGGAACTGTAAACCATGGACTGATGCAAACCATTCAGTAAAACGTATTGTGGACACAGGGATGAGTGAAATATGGGCTTTCTCTTCAGTGGATTTAATCTAGATGACAACTCACACAGAGTTACACAGAGTGTAACCCAGAGAAGAAAGCCCAAGAGCTATAAATGCTGGGGAGGAAGAGAGAGGCACAGGGACATGATTTCAGCTGTCACAAGAAGGCCTGAGGTCATGAGTTGGAAACTTGTATGCCCACGAATATTTACTGCAGCTTTACTCAAAATTGCCAAAACTCAGAAGCAACCACGATTCCTTTAGTAGTTAGACATAGAAGCAAACTGAGGCACCTCCAAGTAATACAATGAATGTCACTTGGTGATAAGGAAAGACAGGAGCTACCAAGCCACCCAGAGACCAAGAAGAACCTTTCGTGCATCTTACTGAGTGAAAAAAGCCAGTCTGAACAGGCCACATGCTGTGTGACTCCAATCACCTGACACGCTGGCAAAGGGCAGCTAGCAAAACCAGTTCAATACAGTAAAGCTATTCTTCCCGTGGTAGTGGTAGAGACGGGCACCATGGGTTGCTCAACACCTGTTGCAGCACAGAGTCGTCCTTCTTATAAACTGTAGACTTTGGGTGATAGTAAGGTTTCAGCAAATATGGACTGCACTACTGTGACATTAACAACAGAAGATGCTGACTGTGTGTGTGATGGGGAAAGATCATGTATTCTGTAAGCCCAAAACTACCCTGAAAAACAAAGGCTGTTGCTAGAAAAGGGTGGGATCTGCACCTGTTATTGGGGCAGGGAAAACGGCAGAAATGGGCATCTTAAGTTCGGGAACAGCAGGAACGAGATCCGGAAATAGGGACGGGGCTGGCACTCAGGGTGTCGTGGTGGGTGGGGCAGGCTGTGCAGAACCTGTGGACTCAGGAAGCCAGGGGCTTCATCACTGGAGGTCACTGTAACTCCTGTTGTTTCTGTTCACAGCAAAGAGCGCCGGGGAAGGTGCTGCTGGACGCAGTCTGCAACCACCTCAACCTTGTAGAAGGCGACTATTTTGGCCTTGAGTTTCCTGATCACAAAAAGATCACGGTAAGAGACATCAGATTAATGTTGCTATTTTACTCTCTATTCCACTGGGGTGGGGATAATTGGTACCTCTCCTTGGACATACAGAAGCATATAGAAAGCTCTCGTTAATAGCTAATATATATTATATCTAATAAAAATATTTAAAATATATAAGGAAAGTAATTCATGCCTGTGATCAGCAAACTCAAAAAGGAGACAGTGAAGACTCTCTCCACACACACCGTACACCCTTTTCCCCTCCAGGAACCACCAACACCTTGTCAGTGCACACATTCTCGTGTCTGCTGATAAAACTTGTGTGTGTGCATGTGTGTGTGTGTGTGTGTGTGTGTGTGTGTGTGTGCGTAAACACAGACCTTTAAAATGCACAAATACAGAGGAAAGGTAGGCGCTTATACATTTCCGCCTTCTCAGGGGAAATCTTTCCTTTTCAGCACATCAAGTCTTTTTCCTCCTGTTTCTCAGCTACATGTAGAATTTGTAACTTTCACCTCAGTGCATCACTTTGGCTTTTCCTTTTTCCCCCGCTGCTTTTACAAATGGTGCTGCCCTGAATGTACCAATATAAAGGTCTCTGTAGTTCAGATCCAAAGGCATGGCATCGCCCAGCCAATAGGTATACATGTGTCAGATGATCCTGCAAAAACGGTTCAACCATTTTGAATGCAAAATTAAGAGCACGGCCTCCTAGTAGTTTATCTCTTTTTGGTTGATGGCGCTTTTACAAGGCTCTATCTCAGCCCACCTTTTATCAGCCACCCTTTTAGGCTATAAGTTTTGATTGTGTTTGTTTATCTTTTGTTTCATACACACCGAGTTCCCAGGCTTTCTAGTCATCATTCTGGCTATCTTAGAATGAGTAAAACATAGGGAACCTGTGATCCAGGTGGCATCAGGCTTGAGTCAGAGACCGGTAGATGTGTGGCAGAAAGGGTGCTGTCGGGCACAGGGGGCAGCGAACAGCACTGTGGTCAGGAAGTCCTTCCCAAATTTTACAGAACTGCCTTCCAAGACCAGTCAGTAGGGGTTCACTTACTTAATAGGTTGTCCCAGACAGAGGGTGCACCTTGTGTACAAAGCCCAGAAAGCAAAGCAGGCATTCAGGGACTTCAAATGATGCCCGAGTGGAAGGCTGGGTGTCAGCAAAGGCAGTGACAGTAGACTTTTGACAGGTAAGGGTATGGGAGGAGGATCGCAAGAGGATTAAGGCTTTCTTTCTGTCCTGTTGCTGTCCATTAAAGTAGGAGCCACATACAGAACTTTGTCTAGCAGTTATAGTAAAAAAAAGACTTGAACACATCAGGTGAAATTAATTTTAAAATATCTTATTTATCTTATTCAAGGTGTGATTGCGAAGTACAATGAATGTTCAATTTTTTAAATAATATATTGTAGTTATTCCCTTCCAGATATCCCTGCCAGCTTCAATACCCTTATCCCATCTTTCTTGCCGCTTTCTGAAGTAGTTCTGGAGTCCTCTTTCACGAACATCTTTAGTTGCACTGTCATAGCTCTCTTGATGTCCCGGATTGATTAACAGTATTTACCTTTCGTGCTCATTATTTTTTCCCCCCTGGTATGGGGGATCAAACTCAGGACCTTGTGCTTGCAAGGCAGGCACGGCACCACTGAGCTAAATCCCCAGCCCAACTGCTCATTTTGACTTTGGAGGAAGAACCACATGTTACACGGTGCTGGATCCAGTGAGGACACACTATCATGTGTTTATGGTCCTGCCTTTCCATTGGATGGTACTCGGCAGCAACGTTCACTGTATTTTTGATCATACCTCGTAAAGACAGTCATGAGAGAAGACTTCCAGAACTGCTTCAGAAAGTGTGAAGAATAATGGGATAAATGTGTTCAAAGCAAAGAGTATTTAAAGGAGGATTAAGTGCATTGTGACTTTTATTATAATACATTTTTAAAATTTTGAATTACTGTAACATATATATATATATATTCCCCAAACATCATTTGAGTACATAGTCAGTATGAATGACTGACGAAGGTGTTTTCATGCTGAGTCTTTGTCCTGTGCACCATTGGCATTATCTTTTCTTTTTTTTCTGTTACTGAGGATCAAACTTGAGTCCTTGAGCTCACGAGGCAGGCAGCAGAACCACTGAGCTAAATCACTGGCCCCCGTTGGCCATTATCTGACCCCCACTTCCCCTCCAGGTGGGCCTGGCAGTTGGATGGGCAGCACAGGTCCATACTGAGCTCCTGGGCTTAGAAGCTGTCCATGCATTTAGCAGGATGTGATACGATGTAATTTCCGGTTTAGAAAGATATCTGTAGCCCGATTGGAACAGGACAAGACTGGAGTCTGGAAAAGCACTGGGACCTGCAGCGATTAGGCAGGAGAGCAGCGTGTAGGAACTGAGAGGTAGGCGGGTGTGAGAGCCAGCTCTGGTCTCTGCTTTGCTCGAGTCCCATCCGGACATAGGAGCTGGGTGTCAGTGTGCGCAGTGTGATGAGGTTTCCGGTGGGCGGGACCTGAAAGTGGATTTCATGGAGTACAGGAAGAGATGTGCTTAATGATTCAGATACCAGAATCCTGCAGGCTGAGTGCCCACACACTGAAGCCACGGTGAAAACCGCTGCTGACGAGGTGCAGATCGGGGAGGAAGGTAGAAGAGAACCAAGCCTACGTCTAGGAACAAGTCCTCAGGCTGCACCCAGAGCCAACAGACCGAGTCAGCCTATCACACACCTAAAAGCAAGGGCAGGCTGCTCTTTTCAACTTAGTCCAGCTGTAAACACTCTGTCATTTTCTAGTCTGTGCAGTAAACCTAAGCTTTCCTGGTCCCCTGTCCTTTTCCAGATGTGGCAGCTGGCCACGGACCTGCCAAATCTAACGCCGTATTCATTTTCTTCACCTGACAAGACTTTAGAAATGTGAGGTCAACTGTCAGGTGGCAGATAGCTCGCGTTTCCATTCGTTGGGAGTGCCAGTCTTGTAAGGGAGTCCAGAAGAAATAATTACAGTGCACCAGGTTCAAACTTTGTTGTACGGAGCAGTTTCTTAAGCTCATTTTAAGTTAAAATAGTGGTTCTCAGCACACCAGAAGGTGCGTTATCTCAATTTCTAACGAGCCTGCTGAGTGCCTGTCTGAATGGCTGCAGGCTCCTCGTGGCCTTCCCAGTTCCAGTTCCGTCTGATTCCCCGCCAGCCGGACCTGCCTCTCCACACCAGAAATCAGTGCTGGTGTTTGCACTTTGTGTTAGAGGGCGCTGAGATTCTGGGAATTGCTCCATGCCCGGGCCTACCAATTACCTCACCACTGGGCTAGGATTCTAACCGCATCCTTCTGACTCTAAATCTGCTGCCTTTTTTGTTAACTGCAGGAGCTTCTCTTTTGCTAGGCTGACTTCCTTGAAGTTTTTATCAGGCTTGATTTTTATGATTTATGGGGTTGCTTAGGAGTGTTCGGCTGTAAAATGGAGGGAAACCCTAATAGCGCTGACTCGAGAAATAGGTGATTAATCTCTTGTGTCTAAAACAAATAAAGACGGAGGTCTGGAGGGCATAGCTCAGTGGTCGAGCACAGGCAGGCTGTGGGGGTCGATCCACAGCACACCCCCTCCCCAAATACTGCAAATCATATAAAATGCTCAAGCCACCGCTTGTCACATGCCAGGGTGCACTAGTCCTCTGATGCAACAGCAAACAGGACCGCTTGTCCTTCTCAGGGTTTATATGCTAGAGCAGAGAACCGACAGTTTTTGGAAAGGGCAGGACAGTCTCTCAGGCTCTCAGGGTTCTGCGATAACTGTTTAAATCATGCTGCTGTGGAGCAGTTGGCAGCGATAGAAAATACGTAAGCGAATGGGCGTGGATTTGACCCATCCGAACTTTATAGCCAGGCATGGTGGCGCCTGCCTATAAATGATCCCAGCACTCTGGGAGGCTGAGGTGGGAGAATTGCAGGTTCAAGCCCATTCTGGGCAATGTAGTGATATAGGGAGACCTTGCCTTAAAAGTAAAATTTATGGAAGGATTTTTTTTCTTTTTCTTTCTTTTTTTTATTTCTTCTGGTTGTTTTGAGATAATCTCAGTGCATAGTTCTGGTTGGCCTTGAACTCACTATGTATCCCAGGTTGGCCACCAACTCACAGTGGTCCTCCTGCCTCAGCCTCCCAAGTGTTGGGAATTATAGGCGTGTGCCACCATGGCCAGCTCAAAAGTAAAATTTAAAAAGGCGTGAGGATGCATCTTAAATCAAAGGCTATGGGTTTAGTAACCAGTACTGGGGGAAAAAACAAACTTGGGCCAGGGATTCAGCTCATTAGTGCCACTGCCTGCCTTGCAAGCCTAAGGTCCTGAGTTCAATCCCTGGTACCAAACAAACAAACAAACAGCAAACTTGATCTGTAAGGTAGAAAGCCATGGCTTGCCAGTACCTAATTAGTGTATAATCACATTTTACAGTGGGCAAGTTCAGAGAAGCACGGAGCCAGGGCTACCATCCCGGCTCTCACTGCCCAAGCATGTGTGTTCTTGTCTTAGTTACTTTCTCGCTGCTGCGACAAAATACCCAACACCCCAAGTTAGAGGAGGAAAGCTTTTCATAGTTTGTACAGGTTTCAGTCCATAATCACCCAGTTCCACAGCGGTATGGCATAGCAGACAGGCATTGCTGAGGAGAAACTGTTCATGCTGGGCAGAAGGCAGCGAAGCAACAAGAGGACTACAGCTCTGTCTATCCCTTCTATCTTATCCAGGCTACTTAGGGCAGGCAGCACTCACACCCTTAATCCTAGTGCCCTTGATCCTAGCATTGCCTCATGAGTCAATCCCAGCATCACACACCCCTGAAAAAGCCCCACCTATAACCTCCTGAGGCTTTGGGGGGACATCTAGACACAGCCGTAGCAGTTCTCTGCACTTGCCACCTCTCCTCGGATGTCTGTGTGTCCAGCAGTCTCACAGACCTTCGCAGCCTGGAGAGCCGTGTGAGTAACACTTATCTCAGCCACCTGCCGAGGAGAGTGGC